TTTTTAAACCAGTTTTTTTTTTGGTAGGTGAGACTTTGGGCTTCAATTATTGCCTTAAAAATTAAAAATCGACCCATTAGAAAAAATGGTATGGAGGGTTACAGAATATACTCACACATATAGTATGTTATTGTTATAGTTCCAGATATATTACTTTTGGTATTTACTAAAAGTTCGCTCATTTTTCTCCTAATTCTTCATATAAATCTCAAAGTTGACCCAGCTGTTATAGGATCATAGCTGTTATAGTTTCCCAGATATACAAATTTTAGTATTTTATTAATATGACAGAGACCACTCCCACTGATTCTAGACCGCCCACTAATTACAGTTTGCATATTTTTTTTACAAAATCGTTATACGGATGTCAAAGTTGAAAATTTGAGGACTTTTTTTGTATCCAAGATACACGAATTTTAGTATTTAACTAATATGGGAGATGCCACTCCCGCTAACGCTAGCCCACCCATTTTTTTTTTAAATATTAAAAGTTGTCAGTGCAAAATTTTAGAACTCAAGCTATTAAAGTTTCTCATATATACAAATTTATTAAGTCTTTTTTATATGGGCGTTGCTCTTCGACCATTTAAAATTGAAAAACAAAATGTTGCTTTTAGTTCCTTCCAGACTATAGAAATGTACTCTGAAAATTTCAAACAAACACACACATACATACATATTTCAAAACATTTTTATATCCTACACCACTATAGTGGGAAGTGGGAAGTATAATATAAATGTATCTTGATGAAAGTTCGTACAACTAAGTTTTATACAAGCCTTGATGATCTTGTCGAATTTCAAATAATCGGACTTCATTTCACCCTAGCCCCCACACAAAGCCCCCTTCAGAAAGTGACTTGAATATCCGCAATTCATTTATTAGCACTGTTATTGCCATGAAATTTAGCACAGACAAATATTACATATATTTTATAAATACAAATCTATCCAGCCCATTTTATCGGGATCGGTCCACATTTGCTCCTATCCCCAATATAAAGCCTCTTTTAGAAAATAAGTTTTTCGTCAATAAATTGCTTAAATAAATCGGAATCAAGGTAATATTCAAGATAAATGCTTTATTATGAAAAATAAATCACATTTAATATTCATAACTGGTGTAGGGTATCATATAGTCTGCCAAGACCAACTATACTTTCTTACTTGTTATTCCTAAATTTTGCACAAAATATCCGACTTTGGGTGAGAAAAATCGATCTGGTGCACACGGGCGGATATATAATGGGGTATGCACATATATATATATATATATTCAGTGTTGTCAACTATTTTATACTAAAACGCGCCGTCCATTCACTCAAAACGCACTAAAAGGCGCTAAAATTATATTTTTACACAGTCTTAAAAAATATAGTATTTAGCTAAAATTTGTTTATTAAAAAAAATTACTCCTTAATTGAAATTTTGATTCGGGAACGAAATTTAAAAAATTAAGGTTAATACAAATTTTTTGAAATTCCCCATAATAAATTTTAATTAAACTCATCATTTCCAAAAATACCAAGAGCCAAGCTTTGTGAAAAAACTGAAGTAATCGTCAAGTAATTGTTTCCTTCACAGTGAAGTTATAAAAAAATAATGGTAAATTTTTGTGAATCAAACTTTGTGCGATCAAAATTATTTTTGTGTTTTTCACATTAAAATATAAATAGTTTTCACGAAATGCAATTTTAATTTTAAGTTCAAGTTAACCTAACTTAAATTAAGTTAATTTACAACTTTTTCCTTTTTTGACGTGAAAAACTTCCCTTGTTGTGAATTTTTTATAGAATTTTCTAATCAATAAAAAGCTGTTACGAACAAAATCAACTGTTGTGGAATTTCACAAAATCAATGAAAATTTAAGAAGAAACAAATTTCAATTCTTTTGGCGAAAGAGATGAATATTTTTTATTTTAGTTTTAAAGTTTTAAAATAACTCATCACACTAAAAGATCTTTGAATTACTCATAATTTGGAAAGTTTAGAAAAAGGAACTTTAATAAATTTGTACAGCAGAGTACTGTCTAAAATTATTCTGTTTTATCTTTATTGTCAAACTAGAATAATTTTATGTTATTAAAAAGATTTTTCATTTCTTGAAAATTAATTTAGCGACTTTTTCCAAAAAAGCGCTAAGAGGAAAAAATGCGACTTTTGGATTGTTAAAAGGCGCTAAATCTAGCGCTAAATTGGCAACGCTGTATATATTACATGTTTTTTCCATTCAAAAGCTTTGTCAAAGAAAGTTGAAATAGTAGACGCTCACAAATTAGAGCTTTCAGTAATTCGAACGTCCAGAAATTAGAATCAGTGTTTGCAATATGTACAATAAGCGACAAACAATTTATGTTTAAAATTTTCTACTATTCTGCACCTTTAACATTAAAAGTGTATCCAGTTCTACTCTATTGTGTCCATTTGAATATAGCTCTAGTGGCGGGCAAGGAACTATAAAAATAAGGCATATTATTATTCGAATAGGAGGAGATTTAAAATCCGTACGAAGTATTCGTAAACTACTTCGTTGGCATATGACTGCGTCCAGTGATGCCAAGTGTAGGGATTTTTCCCTTTTTGTAGGGATTTTTTTCAAAAATGTCACGTGTAGGGAAAAAGGGAAAGATTTCTTACTATTGTCAAATTGTAGGGATTTTTAAATTTCATAGTTTTTAACAACTAAAAATATACTCTTTCATGTATTAAAATTTTAAAATTAAAAATGAAATCAGTTTTAAGTGTATCGTTAGTAAAAATTCCGCTTGTAATTTCTACAATATATGTAGTACCTACATATCGCTACAAGACTGGCATAATCCAAAATTCGGGTTTCTTGAACTGAGGTCTGCAAAACATGCGACATACTAAAATCTTTCATATAGATTTATCAAATTTCAAATATGTCTATTATTTTCGATGTGAAATCGATTTTTTGTAAACGTAAAAACTAAAACCCACGTTTTCGTAAATATTAGACAACTAAAAATTTAATTTCAATTTAGATGACAAACATATTAACCTCAACTATCTGAATCTGGATTTTTAAAATCCCTTGATTTGTTTAAAAGTTATTAAAAAAATAGTTAAATGTCATTAAATATTTATATCCATTTTTCCTGAAACGACTTTTTGGATTATGCCAATCCTGTAGGGCGATATATTCTGACTCCTTATAGATAGAGTAGTCGGGGGCTTAATGCAGTAACTCAGGATTGAAAAAATGAATTTAATGTTCTGAAAATTTATAAAAGTAAACCGCAAAAAGTAAACGCAAAAGTAAACCTTATTTTAAATAATTATTTTATGAAAATTTTTTTGTGGAGGCACATAAAATAAATTTTTTTATCACTATTCGATATACTGCCATAAATCTATTAATTGTCTTGTTTTTTTTTAATCTTAACTGAAGAGTCAGGGTTGGAAGATTTGTATGATGTAAAATTGAAAGAAAAAAAATTTTAAATTCTAGAAATTTCATTCCTAAAAATTAAAAAAAAATACATATATATGTATATGTATATTATAAAACGGATCTAATATTTTAGTTTTTGATGTTATTTTTGTATTTTTTTAAGATAAACTTTGAAAAAAGTGGAAAAAAGTAGTGTAGGGAAAAATGTAGGGAAAATAAAAAGTGGGTGTAGGGAAAAAAGGTATTTTTTCTCATAAGCGTAGGGATTTCGGAAAAAAATCTCCTGGCATCACTGACTGCGTCTATAACCTTATTAGAAGGTATGGCAATAAAAATAATTTAAAAAGAAAAGCGTAAGGTCAAGGAAGGAATTTTAATTGGAAAAAGGTAGAACCCGTACATTACTCGAGATTATAAAAATCATTAAAAAAAAGTAAGATAAAAAAAACTAATTAAAAGATAGTTGTTACGTTTTTTCGTCAAATATTTGTTAGGTGTGAATGTACCTTAACAAGACCATATAATGATTTGTTACAAAGAATCAATGATGACATCATACTAATGTCATCGAAAATTATCTAAGCACTTTGTTTCATTTACCGCTGGGTAGCTTTCGTAAACAAATACTTCTTAGATTAGTGTTGTCGTTTTATTTCTTAGTTAAATTTTACTAATTAACCAATATGCAGTGTTGCCAACAATGGTCAAGCAAAACGCGGAAAAAAATAAAAAAGGAGTATAAAAGCGTCATTTTCTAACTTAAAAGATGAAAAAGCGCTACTTTTTTGAGTAAAATAAAGTTTATTCGTACATCATATTTAAAACTATTTATTTAGATTAATCAAAAAATATATAGATCAAATTGTTTGTTGTTTTTTTATTTGTTTTGTTGTTTTTGGATCTAGTGCCATTCCTAGCTTTTTTCTAGCCGTATTTTTTAAGCATTTTAGCACGTGATTTAGTTAGTTTGAAAGAAGGATGTACATATGTATATACATCAAATCCGAAGAAATATACATAGGCCTCTATCGGGCCTGTTGTGCGCTCCTTAACCAGTGCCTCAGGTGGGAATCGAACCCAGCACCTCCTGCCTACCAGACTAGAACTCTAACCACTAACCTACCGGAGGCCACTAGCACGTGATTTAAATGAGTGATTTAGAAACTTGACCATAGAAAATGTTTGATCGCGGTTACACTCAAGCCGACTTTTTTATACATACTGGTTTCATCATTCTTTTTTAGCCCAAAAGTATATTTTTTGGGCTAACAAGTATTTGACGAAAAAACGTAACAACTATCTTTTATTTTGTTTTTTTGATCTTACTTTTTTTAATGATTTTTGTAATTGCAAATAATATTGAAATAAATAATAAAGACATAGCTTTAGTTTTAAAGATAATGGAACTCTAAACAGAAGCAATTGTCCTAAAACACTAAGGAGAACAATTTTTAGTTTTCGAATACTATCAGGTTTCGTCGGAACTTTGAATTAATATATAACTGTGAGTGGCAACGCTGGCACTCTTACAAAAAAATAAGAGAGACTTTTTTTAACAGAAGAGTAAATAGAAAAATATACTTTATTTAAAAAATAACTACAAACAAAAATACATATGCACTATAAACACCAGCTCATTGATGTGGCTAAAAAAAAAACAGAAATCAGCATCTCCATCGTTATTTTTCTTGAGTTTTATTTAAACCTATTCGTTATTATAAGAAACATTCTACTTGACTCCAGATCAACAGTTTACAATTAGAAGTAGACGGAAAGAGAGCTTAAAAATTATTCAACAAATACATCAAAAAAGAAATTGAATTGTAAAAAATGTTCAAATTAGCCAACTTAGTAGTGTTGATGTCAACATTTTGTGTTATTGCAACTGGTAAGTGAAATGTGGCGAAGTTAATTAATGAATATAAGCAGTACTTTTTTACCTAAATAAATAGTAAAATTTAAGTAGAACAAATTGTTGCTAATAAATAAGTACACATGTATGTATGTTGTTATGTACTTAAACAATATCAATAAAGTTCTTTGTTTGCGGCCAATGTTTTTTTTTTAATTTTTAAAATTACAAAAAAATAAACTAGTTTATGATCATTGTTTAAGCTTCATTAAATTTCTTACTTGATAATCATTTAAAAAAGTTTTTAAATATTGATGATGCCTTCACAAACATGAAAGACGAGTTTACAACAAACAAAAAATACTCATATGAAATATTTAGATAATTACTGAAGTTGCTAAAGATATTATTCCGCGGTTTATTGTTAAATATTATTTTTAGTTTGATGCTTTAAATTTATTGCTTTTTTTAATATGAAGCTATTATTAAAATTTTAGTATTAAAATTTATTATTAATAAAACACTCGTATCTGTTCGTTTGAATTTGTACGATGGTAGATTGTGAAATTTATGACTAAAGCTAAGAATAATTTAAAGTGTCAACGACTTTATATTCAAAAATTAACACATTTAAATTCGATTGAAATAAAATACAAAAATTAAAACAACTAAACAAACTGCAAGCAAGACTGAACTGCAAAGTAATACATAATTTGAAGAAGAAAATGGATGGAATAAGCAATAACAGACCTACTCGAAAAATAACTTTTTATCAAGTAAAAGCGCTACATGTCGCATCTACAACAATATTTCGAAATAAGGAGACTAGGTACCGTAATGGACCTATCCTTACAGGATTTGGCAAAGCTAACGGTTTTGAGCTGAAATTATAATAATCATAATCAGTTTCGAGTAAAAATTTTTCAAGTGATTTTTCGAAATCGTCAAAGCTATTTTCCATTGATAATATAAATGTTTTATGGTATTTTTACGATTTTTATATTAATTATTAAAAAAAACTTGAAAACTATATTTAAGATAATTTGAGTATGCTGAATCCGGGAGCATATTTTTTTAATTTGAGTTTTCCCTAGTGAGTTATAGAAGGTCAAAGTTAAATGTCCAAAATATTCGACACTCGAAAAACAGTCACCAAAAAGTACCTGTTGTTTTGTAAAATGTCTTTCTACGCTTATACCAATGCAATACAATTTAAAGGTCTTATTCATACTCTTGTGTTTTATAAACCTTTGATAAATGTTTATGAATAGTATTTTTTGGCCATTAAATGAAGCTGTTTTTTAAACGTTGTTTAAAGCACTTTTTAAGAAGTAGTCATAAGTGACAATTTAAAACCTGATTTTAAAATACTTTAAAAATACGGAAGATCTTTAAAAATCTCAATTATAAATATAATAAAGTCTTACAGTTGTATTCATAAAAAATGCTTATTTTAGATTTAAATCACACAATAGTTAAAGTACACTTTAGACTTAAAATTGTGGTATTCATAAACAAATAATAAATCTACATTAACTATTGTGCTGTTTATTGTTTAACTTGGCAGCACTGTACAATTTGGCTGTCATTTTCTGTGTTAGTGTTGCGAACAATTAGGATAAAATATTCGTTGAGTCGGTTTTCTTAATTTTATATCTTTGGTTATAACACATTTTTGAAAATAAGAACGAACTTTGAAGAAAAATAAATATATACATGGCTACAATAAATATATACATGGCTACAATAAATATATATTTAGTTCAGATGACTCAGACTTATTTTTATAGCAATTTTTAATAAATTTTTGCAAATACTGATAAATTTCTTTGATAAAAGACTACGTTTTATTGTTGGAGAAGATATTTTGCATTGATAGAACACTAATCAATATAATTTATATTTAGCTTTATATTTAGCGAATAAACTATGAAAAATACAAATAAAATGATTGTGGCCATGATTTGATTGACAGGCGGGCATTTCCAAATTGCCAAAAATAGTATTGACCAACTGGAATACTGTCAAATATTCATCTATTAATCCAATAATGCCTAGGTTTTAGTTTTTTCATCAAAATAGAAATTTTTAAAATTTATCTGGAATTTTATTTACAAATTTGTAAACGTTAAAATTACAATTTTTAGATTTCATTTCAGAATAAAACATGATTAGTTTTCGTCTTCAACCTAAAATGAATGAAAAAAGCTTAATCAGAGACAAAATTTGTAAGAATTCAACTTATTGTTGGCTTAAAGTAGGGTCGAGCGTACAATAAATTTTTTCTATTTGTCATTGGTTTATTGAAGGTATTTTAAGCTATTTGACGTTTATGAATACCATTTTCGTGGATTTTGGTTAATAATGTTTAATAAATCTAAATTAACTTTTTATGAATACAACCGTTAATTTTCATCTAAAAGAAAAAAATTAAATCTAAAGGTAAATATTAACTCAAAAAATGCTTAAAAATCTATTGTAATGTCGAAAAAAAACACGGAAAGGGTTAAAATACCTTATATTGAGTTCTTGAAAACTAATTTGGTGTGATCTCTAGTAAATGTATTTTATATGTTTCTATTATACCATCAATTTAGATGTACTTTATTAAAATAAAATTTTCTTATTTATTTTTTGAGACATGTTTTTCATAAGTAAATACATATGTTTAATAAAAACAAGACCCCACAGAAAAAGTGTTTAGAATTTTTTAAATCTAATGTCCAAAAACACTGTTCCATCTATCTGTCCTCCTTTCCACAACTCATTTCCATAATCTAGATCTAACACAATACTCTGCCTGAATAGAGGCCATCCCCGAAAGCTATGAATGTATACACGGTTGTCAGAACTTACAAAGTCGTTAGGAAGGTGATGATGATGTCATGAAATGACCCATCCCAGTGCATTCCTTAACCTTAGAGCCCGCGCATCCACACTACTGAGATGGCTCTGTAGGGTACAATAAATTTGTATGCCATAAATCCTTTACGTTACAATTACGAAATATTTTATGAATTAGTAGAATCATAATGACGCATTTAAGGAATGTGTTTATATGAGTGTATGTACACTAACACAAGTGCGATTATATAAAAGAAAGTGGTGAGAGTACATAAATACCTAGCAGTTTTGTGGAACAGCCTCGAACTACCTATTTAACCTATCACTTAGGATTTCCCCGAGCCACTGGTAACCCAAATGACTAGCTATTTTAATATCCGCTTGTCCTACAAAGGAAGATAATCGCCACTCTTAGATTACAAAGATGCAATCGGAAAGCTTGTCCAATGAATTCAATTTATGGCAACGAACTTTTTTGCTTAAAATGGTTTTTTAAGTGTCCACCCTCTAGATTACTTGGGGACACCAGTATAATGAGGAGGGTATTATGCGTTTGTGCTGCTGTTTGTAACGCACAAAAATATTAGTCCTAAGCCTCAAAGTATACCGATCGACTCAGAATCACTTCAGTTTTTCATCAATAAACTGCTTAATTAGATTAAGGTGAAATTCAACGTAAATGTTTGTTTTATAAACAAATAAAAAATGTAGAAGGGTATCGGCCATGCCCGACTATACTTTCCTACATGTTTTCGGATGCATTGAATTCGAACTGCTGGGTACATATTCTGTATCATTTGTATAAATTGTTATTTGTACAATAAATAAACAAACATATGTATACATACATGCATACATCAATACATATACATATGTATGTATGTATGCATAAATATTTTTTCGAAAGCAGAATGGAAATTGTTTTCAAAACTATAAAAATTACTTTTCATGGAAAGGCCAATTAAAGACTTATTTCTTACCTAAAATAACAATAAATATGCATGTTCATTAACATCTATCGAAAAAAAGTTTATATTATTGGAAATAAAAGAAGTTTACTTACTATCAAAATAAAACTAGTATTTATATTCCTGCAGTAAAATGCGTATAACCGAAAGATTCCTCATAAGATGATAAGATTGAAACCGAAATCAGTTAACAAGTTTCGAATAGTTAATATTTTCAAATTTAGATATAACGAAATAACAAGACATAATCAGATACATACATATATAGAAATAACCGTTTTATTAGAAAATTTAATTTTTCGAATCAGTGGGATCTCAATTTTCCGTAATGGTCGTGACCGGTCGCTACCGAAAAGTCAAAATACCGCTATTATACTAAAAAAATAAAATTTCCAAAAAGTAAAAAAATCTTTACTTTATTAACACTAGACTATAGACTAAATTATGGAATAGACTATATACACTAAATATTAGACTGTAAGCTAGATTATATATTACACTATATAGACTAGTATATAGATTAATAACATTAGTATAACGATGAAATTTAACATAATGATATTTCGTATTAATTTAATTCAATTTATTTCCATATCAAACCTAGCCTAATGGCCATAATCGGTTAAAATTTTCTATTTAAAAAATAGGTATACATAAAAAAATATATTCATATAACAAATAATTAAAAAACAAAATATTTATAAAAAGAATTGTAAAATAATTTGAAAAGAAAAATTTATTGAAAGTAGTATAACCACAAAATCTTCCAAATAATAACTAAAAATACCAAAAGATAGCAATTCCCTAAATCATGTAAACTCATCAAAAACCGGCTAAGAACAACCACCGGCTAACAAAAATCTATCTATATATTTTATGAGGATATAAAAAAAAACACTGAAGTATGACATAATCGAGTTTTATATCAACCGAAATCTCTATTTCCAAAATGATTTTAAAGCTATTTACTGAATAATATCATAATAAAACAAGTTTTGTAGGACCAAAAATATGTCTACCAAATTTTATAAGGATCGAAGCATAATTCACCCTAAACCCATATGAGATCCTCTTTAAAATTCGGTGTTATGATGAAATTTGACATAAAAAAAATTTGTTAAGAATCGAAACCTGTATTTTTGAAACCTAAACGCTAAAATACAAATACCAAAATACCCCCCAGCAAAATCTTTGCTTACAATGATTACCATTAAGTACTTTATTAATGACTTACTTTGTATGTAAAGTCTAAAAAAAATCAAAATAAAGAAACAAACAAACATAAAACAGTTACTTTTTCTTTCCTTTTTTGTGCACACGATATCAAATATCTATTTTTAGACAAACAGAAAATAAAATAGTATTTGTGTGTGAAAACTATTATTTGACGTACAATAAAACAGCTAAGCAGTGGTGTAGTGAGTGGAGCATCCAACTGGTAGACGGAAGGTATTGAGTTCAACCCCAGTCTGTGTCGACTTTTTATTTTTATTTTTTCATAAATATTCTATAAATAACTCTACTAAAAAAACAACTTATTTCCAACCAAATAATATTGACTTACTTTTGGAACATCTCAAACAAAAATAAGTACTTTTTCTAGTAGAATTGTAAGCACTTTACTCGATGAATTCTTGTGATTTTTCTAGTGAATTTGTAAGCAAATATTTTGCTGGGCCATAACACTAAGATACAATTTTGCAGGATGAAATCTCCGAACATATACTTTGTGACTGTCAGCCACTATGGCCTCTCAGAGCGAGTATTCTAGGAGGCGCATTTGTATTGCCTAATGAAATATTCAAATCTCTCACCGTTTAAAACATTAAAATTCATACGTGAACTTAATCTGCAATGGTGAATCAAAGAGCTGCACAAAAGATCTTATCTGAGGTCGTGCTTTGTGTCCCTCTGTCAATTTATCAATCGAGATACTGTTACCGAGTTAAGCCAAAATACCGATAACGATAAAATAAAAATTCCGAAATAAGTCAAAATACCGATACGTTACCTTATCACCGTTTCGAAACTGTTGCCAAACTTCAGTAAAAGTCAATATAAATATCGGTAAGCTATTGGCGGTCAAAGGTCACAAAAGTCTGTTTACGAATATGTCACTTATTATACGTCGTATGCATTTTTATGATAGTATAATTTCTATAAAGAATTTAATTTCCTACAATTTAGTTGAAGACTATTTTCTCATAATATTTGTTGTTTTCGAGCTATTTTTTTCATTGCAATGATATTTTCAAACTTTATTATTTTTAACATCGATACATTTCGCAATTTTTCTTTCTTGTATTAGCTAATGATGTTACATCCTTTAACACAGCAGTACTCTCTGATCCATAGCGCAATGCCCGTCTATCCGAAATTGCCAATGGGGTCATTGGTCATAATTAAGAATATAATTTGTAAAAACAATTTGTTTCCAATACAAATATGACCTGTAATACTATGTATATGAAATTATGGATAGACAGACATTTCACTATGGGTTATGGAGCGATTCTGAGATAAAACGTATAACAGTGTATAAGATGTTTATGAATACCGTAAAAATGATGACGAATTTGTTATCGGTACAATCTACATATGTATATTAAGATTTAAAAATATTAGTGCAATATTACTAATTATGCTAAGCTATGTGCAAATTTTCATGCTACAAAACATAAGTCCTTCATATAGTTTTATCAAATTTCAAATACGTCTATTATTTTCGGTGCGAGATCAATTTTCATGTTCTAAACGTAAAAAATTAATTACTGTTTTTACGAATATTAGATAAATAAAAATTAAATATTAATTCAGATAAGAAACATATTAACCTCTACTATTTCAATATGGCTTAACTTTTTAAATCCCTTGATTAGTTTAAAATTTATTTACAAAATAGTAAAATGTCATAAACATTCAAAGCCACTTTTCTCGAAACGACTTTTTTTGGACTATGCCCGGTCTTGTAGTAAGTGAGCGATATGTACTTAGTTGTTTGTAAATTTGTCTGTAGTAAATTAAACTTTTCAAAAATAAATTTATTTAATTAACCAATGACATCATTATTTATTATGAATAAGTCTCTACACTATCAATAAACTTTTAAGACTGTCATAGTAGCTGAAGTATGTACATATGTATTTTGTATTTACTCGTATGTTTGTAAGTATGTGAGTATTTAATACTTAAGGCCATTAATTTATTGTTTCTTTCCTCATGTGCATTTCCCTTTCCTGCCGGTAGTAGCATTCTTTCTGTCTTGATTGCGTATGTTTGTATTAAAAGAACAAGTGTATTTTCAAGTAAAATCAAAATATTCGTAATTATTATTTGTTTAACAATTTGTATGTAATTTTGTTGTATTTGACTAACTGAGTGGCTGGCTGACTAACTAACAGACTGAGTCAGAGTGGAGTACATACATACATATGTATGTATATTAGACCGACTCACTCTGTATGGAAAGCAAAAACTTGTTTTTGTTACCCCTCTCAAAATTTAGCTTGCTTTTTTTATGATGATATATATATATATATTTAAAATATATATATATAAATTATAAAATATTTTATGTCTAGCGATGGCCGTTCTCGAGCTGGAGGAAATTAAAAAAAGGTATTTTTTAATTATTTTTTTTTAAAAATTTTAGTTTTGTTTTGAAACAATATATTTAATATGGGGTATCGTTTGAAAGGGGTTTTAAAGCCACGTCCCATATGGGATATTTTCTTGAAAACTGTCCAGCACACGAACGGATAACACTAAACCCAAAATAGTTTTCGTAACATCATTTTACATAACAACGAATATTTTGAGCGGGGTAACTCAAGTACTATTTTTGTGAGTCGGTCTAATGTATATGTTTATACATATGTCTGCTTTTTTCCCCGAATTCATAATTTTTATTTTTGCACGTTGTTCAAGTATTTGTCCTCCTTTAACAACCCTGAATGATGTCATTAATAATTAATAAATCAATCAGACTTCATTGCATAAATACTTATTGGTAACAAAAGCAAAATATTGAAGAAGAACATACATGCATACATATGTATGTATATTAGGGTGTCCCGTGGACCACTTTTTAGGAGGAATACCTCTAAAACGATGCGTTACAATGTACTTAATAAAAAACTATTTTTTTGAAAAGATCCTCAGTTCCCTACCAGCGACTGAAAATCTTGATCTCAGCACAATATGTTAAAAAAAATTCTGCAATCTTTTCGAATTGGGTGTCAAAATTTCCGTAATTTTGAGCTTATCGCGGGAAAAATAATTAAAATTTTTGTTAGATTATTTCTAGATTATTCTTAGATTATTATTTTTTCATTCAAAAATCGCTACAAAATGTTTAAAGCGGAAGTCTGATTTTATTCCTTTTTTTTAATTTTATTCATAATTATGACCTTTGATACTATATATGTGATAAAACATATGGGCCAGACACTAGGGGAAAATTAAGTAGCAAATTATCGGTTCGGTTAAGGGAATTTTATTTCCTTAATTAAGACCCCAAGACGAAGCCCTGTACCAACTTTTATTTAGCTACCTAAAAGTCCCCAGTTTACGCTTCTTTCAACTAATTTTCCTTGGGTAATATTGATATTTAATTTATATTTGCACATTGATTTAATGAAATTGTAGTCGAACAAGTTTCTCACTAAATGTTACTTTTCCTGAGTTTGAGATTATTATGTTAAACCTAAATCAGCTAAGATACAAACCTAATATAACTATTAAATATTTTCAAATACTTTCAGCCGCACCCTATCAAGAACTGCCACCCAAACCTGGGTATGTACCAGTTTATATCAGGGAAGGAAATACACCCTTAAGTCAAGTAAACCCAAAGTTGGTAGAAGCTTTTCATGAGTATGAGGTATCCAATCTACCACAATTAGAGGTGAGAAATATAAATTTTCTAAAAATTAACAAAAATCATAAACTCTAATACTTAATACTATTAATACACAGGTCGAAATTCCAAAAAAAGTTGAAGTTACTACTAATAACAAACTAGATAAAGTTGCTGAAAACGTAGAACAAGATAATGATGAAGGAGAGACCAATGAGCAATCGAAGAACTTAGGTGAAGAGAAAGACGAAAGCAAACAGATAAAAGAGCATGTACAACAAGACGAAAAACAATTAAAAAAAGAAGAAACTCCCGCTTCCGATATTGCGGAATTTACTAATGATGCTATCAAAGTACTAGCTGACGGCAATACAGACAATTAATTAAAATAAAATACATCATTAATCAATAATTGAAAAAATCATATGCATAAATAATAAGCTTTAATTAAAAAAAAAGTAAAAATAAATAAATATACATACATATAGTGTTAGTCATAGAGTCGAGCTCATTATAGAAAGTTCGATCATGTTTCTTAAAACAATATTTTAGGAAAAACATCACTTATTTAGATATTATATTTTTGTAGTGCCCATAAAAAATGATTTGAATAAAACAAAAATACAAAGGGATTATTTAATTCATTAATAGGTGAGAAGCATAAAATGATTACGTTGTTACTTTAAGGAGTCGAACTACATAAATATATTATTTCACCAATAATAAACTGTACAAATACTTTTATTCCCTAAAATAAGTACTATTTATACAGAAGAGTTTTCAATCGAATAACCGTGGAACGAATAATTTTTAAATAATAATAACTGGTCTGCAAAAAAAGTTTTTTTGCACTCCTTTAAATTTTAATGGCTGATTAGGATAGATTTATTGGTCCTTAATCCAGGTGTGGTAAAAAATGTATATAACTTATTATTTTGTAGTTGTTTTTCTATTCATTGACCATACACCAACAAAAATGCGCCAGCATGCCTGACCATTTTCCGTTGTATCTTCTTCCATTTTATAATATACACATTTTGTTGGAACCTTCGAAATTTTCTTCTGATACTGCACCAAGATTTTCAGGAAAAGTGCGAGTCCAAAAAATTAATTTTTAGTGACATATTTAATTTAATATGTCGATATGCAGAGTGCCGTCCTTTAGTTTATAGTTTTCAGCTCTTTGTTTTCCCCAAAGAAATTACAAACATTTACAAATGTTACAACTGTGAAAATTTCCTTGAAGATATACAAGGAAAAATAAGGTGTCAATGTTCCCAACTAAAATTAAAGTTTAATTGATTAAGATACCATTTCACAAACTTTTGTCCTGGCGTCAATATTTGGTGAGCTGGATCAAAGGATAAAAAGGTCCTTTTTGAGGTTTTTATGATTTTTTTATATTTCTTGCAAATATTGACGTCAGGACAAAAATTCTGAGAAATGGTATCCTAGAATGAACTAAGTTTTCATTTTCAGAGGGAACATCAGCAACATCCATTTTGGGGCCACCCTAACATACATACATACATCAAACGATGCGTAGTTACGAGGCTTATTAAATCATATTTCGATTTTTCGATATTTATTAACCCAAAAATGTTCTTGAAAAAAAATTAAAGAAAGTTTAATTTTGTAAAATTAGCTGTATAATTTTGTCATCATATAACTATTTTTTGGTAGATCATTCATGGACTAAAATTTAGAAAAAAAATGTTCGCTAGAAGTGCATCAATAGTGAAAATATGTATGTTGTATTTCAACGTCAAATGTACACCGCGCATCACCGCCAAAGTTTGTAAATGCGTTTATATGGCAAAAAATTGCAATTTTTCGAGTTTTTTTTTCAAAAAATATGGTATTAGGTATTAATTTTTGCAGTATTGAACAAATGTCTCATAAGCTTCACAAAGTTTTATAACTTTAAATGCTTATATCTATCAGATGGAGCTACCTATGGTTTTAAAACATTATAGTCATATACTTTCGAATATTGTAAGTACCATACTATTAAAAGTTTATTAAAAAAATATTATGTAAAAAAATGTTTCAGATTTATGTTCGGTCCCATAAGCGTTAAGCAAAATAGTGAATTACCAGAAATTGTGACGTGTGGGAAAAACTGAAAGCAGGCGTACATTTAGTTTGGCAATATCTTAAGTTCTATAACATATTTTAAAGGAGAATTTCATTGGAGACTGGTGTAATTGTTAGATTTCCAAAAATTTGAAATACGTTATAAGTCTTCTTGAAAATCCCTAAGAAAAATTAAGAAGAATAAAAATACTTTAAAAAATGGCGACAAATTGTCTTTTTTTCAAATTAACTTTCGAATCAGTGTTGATATTTAAACAATTTTTCTTATTTCTTAAATAAATTTGTTTTCGAATAAAACAAGGTCTCCAAATTTAAAACTCGACAAGTCAAATTTCAAATCGGACTAACCGTTTTAAAGTTTATTTGTTAAAATTTGTGAACAGTTGAAAAAGAAAATTAAAAGTTGTTTTAAAGTGGTTTAAAAGTGTTATAAATTATAATTAACAGTCATTACTGTTGTTTAACAGTCATACCGGTTGATTCTAATGTTTTGTATCAAAACAAATGTCCACCAAAAAAGTCCAATTTATCCATTTTTGTATACGCCATTGTCTACTATTATACAAATGATAGGTTTCACTATTAAACAAATTGTTTATTTAATAAAATTAAATCGCTCTGATAGAAAGAAAATTTTCAATTTAAGTAGTTTTTTGCTTCTCCTGTAAAATTTTAAAAACGTTAGATAGGACCGTTTGCGTTTTAGGTGACGATATGTAAAACATGTTTCTTTAAATTAAAATTAATTTCAGATGGTAAGACTGTATACACTTTTTGCTTCTAATTTGCAAAATCACATAATATGTATGTACGACGCATGTTTACACGTAAATAAAGCTAAAATTCTTAAAAAAAAGTTTTTAATTGATTAAATTTTTGTTACTGTTCAAAATAAAGAAAAACAAAAAAATTAACTTTACCCATTTTTTTTTTAAATTAATGGTTGATATCATGAAAATAACAAGTCCTTACAAGTTCAACCTTACTATATAAAAAATTTAACAATTAAGCGTAAAAAGGTAAATAACAGACAAGAAATGAATAATCGTTTGATGTAAGTTTTGACTTTCAAGCCTATTCAAGGTAAAATAGGGAAAATTGTTTTTCTGATTTTTTTTTTCTATTTTAAAACGTTTAGCTTTACTACTCAAAAGAATAGAATAATTTGTACTAAAATATGCATTAATATTTATGAGGGAAATTGAAAAGGAAACGCAAATAAAAGTTTCACTGAAAGAGGGACTTGACGAGTTAAAAATTAATCATTGAAAAAAGTTGAAGAGTGTATAAGGACAATGGATTTAAATAGTTAGGTCAAAAACAAAGACATTTATTTTATTTTAGATATTATATTTTATTTTGTTTAAACATATTTTTAGCCACACGGGAGTGTTTAATTGTTTAAAAAAAGGATGATGTGATACAAAATGATTCTAATGGAATATAGAAGTATACTCGGTTGGGTCAAAAATACTTTTTTCGCTTTTCTGTTATACTATATACATAAATGATATAATTGATAAACACATACAACTTAAATATTATGACTTGTTATACGAATTTAAATACCTACCAGATACGAACTCAGTGTTCTAAAAATATTTGCAGTCTTTCTAGTCTGCTTCCTTAACGTATGTATGTTTATCAATTCTTTTTATATGTGTTTTTATACACACCATCAAAAAAGTTGATTTTGTCATTCCGTTTGTAACACATCGAAATTGTGATCATAGACAAAAGTATATATATCCTGGGTCCTTATTAAATTCTAAGATCTAGCCATATTTTATAGTATCGGTCCATAATTGACAATACCCTCATATAAAGTTCTCTTCAGAAAATTACTTTAACACTCATTACTGGCTTAAAACTATAAGTACAGTAATGAAACTCGAGATTAACGATTTTAATAGGAACCAAAAACCCTTAAGAAAATGACTTTAACACCCATTTCTGACTTAAAACAAGTAAGAAAGTATAGTCGGGCGTGACCGACCATATAATACCCTACACCAGTTATGAATATTAAATGTGATTTATTTTTCATAATAAAGCATTTATCAATATTACCTTGTTCCGATACATTTAAGTAATTTATGGATGAAAAACTAATTTTCTGAAAGAGGCTATATATGGGGAGCTAGGGGCAAATATGGACCAAACCCGATAAAGTTTTGTGAATGTATTTATATTTATATAATATTTATTTAATATTTGTGCTGAACTTCATCGCTATATTTTTTGTTTATAAGTAAATTTTGGGCATTCAAGTAATTTTCTGAAGAAGACTTTGTATGGGAGCTAGGGTCAAATGAGACCCGAACTTTAATAAATTTGGCAAGGTCATCAAGACTTGTATTAAACTTAGTTGTGCCGCTTTTTATCGATATACAGGTATATTTAACATAATTATGAGCTCAGAAGCCCTTTTCGGGGGGTTCTGTTGTATGGGGGCTAGGTGAAATAATGGACCGATTTTAAGCATTTTCAATAAGTTTCGTCCTTGGGACAAAAAAGCGTGTGTGTCAAATTCCATCCAATTATCTTGAAAAGACGGACGGACATAGCTTAATCGACTCAGAAAACGATTCTAAGCCGATTGGTATACTTTAAGGTGGGTATAGGTCGAATATTTTTGTATGTTACAAACATCAGCACAAACCCAGTATACCCTGTAGGATATAAAGTGGTGTAGGATATAAATACGAGTTCATCGATAAAATTCGACTCAGACATGTTTCATATGAAATCAAAATCTTTCTTCCAAATTTTATGAGAATCGGTCCTCTAATGCCCATATAAGGTCCCCTTCAGAAAATTACTTTAACTCTCATTAAATTATACGAACGAAGACCTACGTATCTACCAAATTTTATAAGGATCGGTTCATAATTGACCCTACCCCCACATAACTCCCCTTACAGAATTAGAATTTTAATTCGGAAGAACTCAGTTCATAATTGACTTAAGCCCTCGTTAAAAGCCCTATTCCAAGTATTACCCTGATGTTCATATTAATATCGATTATAAAATTCAACGTAAATCTAATAAAAGACAAGAACAAAAGCATCGATTCATAAATATTTACCCCCTAATTCACAAACAACATTTTTATTTTATAAAAGGTTTATAAAACAAAATTTCCATACAATATCTAATTTATAAACCGTTTATAAAATAAAAATTTTGTTTGTGAATAAGGTTATTTTTATGCAGGTTTTGTATTATATGATTTTATGGTGAGTATATTAGATTCGGCATAGCCGAATATAAAACTCTTACTTGTTATAATTATTTCTTTAAATGCAAATCCAAAACATTCATACATGTGTGTGTGGTGTTTTGGAAAAGGCAAATCGGTAGACATAGAAGCGGAAGGCAGAACACAAACTTACGCATTTCAAACAATGTATAAATCCTCGAAAGCAATTAAACAAATACCCCACAATTAAAACGTTCACCATAAAAACTGTAATCTTTGGCTTAATATAAGCAGTGTGACCAGATCTTAAAAAATGCTACTAAAACCCATCCAAAGAATTTATGTTGAATTTTACCTTGATTAAATTAAACTTTTCATGGATAGCCAACCAGTCAGGCGGACGGACTTACATGGCTTAATCGATCCAGAAAGTGATTCTTAGCCGATTCGTGGCCTCCGGTAGGTTAGTGTTGAAGTCTGGAAAAACATCTAGCTGCAAAAATACTAAAACGGCCACACTAAACTGCGTTTCAATGAATGAAGACAACGTACATACAAGATTTTGTGTATTTGGCGCATTAAATGATGAGGCACTAAAAATGAAATAACAACAATAATGATAATAGTAGGCCATTTAAAGATGAGGTTTCAACATAGATTTAAGCAATCCATCATTTTCAATCTGTTGGCAATTTGTGGTGGCGCTATTCGCAATTATGGTGGTAGTTGTGGACAATCTGCCAAACATTAACTACTGAAGAAATATTAAATGTACAATAAAATTTTTATATATATTTTCGGGGCAGATAGAAGTGTAACTAGAGCAATTTTTTTCAAGCAATTAGAAATTAATGTATCTAATCATTCTAAAGATATTACATTATATACAAATGATTGTGTTGTTAGTTCAAATTACTGTTATTGTATTAACACTGGCGGGCCGAAGCGAGTTCATGTTTATAATTTATACACAGATTTTGTGGTGATCACAAAAATATTTTTTCAATTTGTTTGGTTTCATTTTTATTCCATAAGAACTGGATAAATTACAAACATGCATTCAATTTTGTTCGCCAGTGTATTGTACAGTTTAACCTAATTACGGCGATTAAAGGCTTGAAAGAACGGATGTAAACAATTAGAGTTTGTTTTGCTTTTAGTATCTGTTAAAGTTCCAGTCTTATTTAAGATAAGAGCACTAAAATTAAAACAAAAACCTATTATTCTAAATTAAAGAGAGAAAGGGGAATTGATTGAAGTTAAGGATTAAAGTTGAAAAGCGGGAACAATTCATTAAATTGAAAGAAATAGACAAACGTTTTTGTTGACATCAGGAGAAGACTCCAAAAATATTACATCCTAGACCAAAAAAAACAGTCAAGTCTTAACTAGAGCCTACATATTGATTAATTATTGACGTGCTAATCCTTGGATCACATTATTGGGATTGCTACAATCGTGGATCCTTCTAACTGTATCTAGAAGAATTCTCATTGGACCCGCTGAATTGACATACAGATTATACGAAGTACATTGGATTTCCCAGTTTAACAAAAGATATAAATAATGTCAGGCCTACTCGTAAAAACGAAATATTTGTTTAACCATCTTACACATGAATATTTTCGCGTAATTTTGTTGACAAACAATTATATTTGTCTCTGTATTTTTAAAACAATCACAATTCTCCTTTAAATAAAGATTTTTACGTTAAAACGTATATCTTTTTGTAAAAATCTTGTTTCTATTTTCTGGCACCATAGAAAAATAAAACTGGTTCCTAAATTATTCACGTTTGCGAAATTTCTTTTTGGAAAAGCGAATATTTTTTATAACAATATTATTTAATAGTTATTGTTCAGCGCACTAAGCTCCCACCGAACGCCCGAAAAGTGTATATTAATATAATAATAAAGTAAATTTTATTGTATCAACCAGATAGATCATTTAAATATTACTTTGCTATTAACATAAACCAATTCTACGTTTCTATTAAGTACTGAGAGAGTTTTCAAGCCCAGAGGAAAGCTTTAAAAAATTAAGAATATTTTTGATCCAATGAAAAGAAAAATCCTGTTCAAATTTTAAAATAAGATAATTAATCTATAATTGTTTAGTTATCTGAGTCGAAATTATAAGTCTAATTTGCAATTTAATATCAGGAATATAGGTAGGAGAGGGCTAAGGAGGCAACACATCTCGCCTCATTCATTTCTAATTATCAACATTTTTAGATTCCGGTTAAGTAAAGTAAAGACAATCTTATAGCACGTGAATTTTTTGTAACGAAGACATCTCTTAGGTAAGACTCACTCACCCATCCGACGAGGACTAGTCTTTTGCCAGAACGTGCGAACGTAGACAGAACAACCCGTTACAAACCTTCCGCGACAAATCGATTTTCTAAAACCTTTCAAAAATAAATTTACATTAATTTTTTATAGTTTAATCAACATGTTTTGGTATTAACTTTGGAACTTTAACTTTATTTAGAGTAAATATCGAAAACTTTAAAGCATTTGCCGCTGTTAACGCCCTATGTGGAATGGATAGGGCCGATTTGAAATTTTAAGAAATTGTTTAATAATTATAACCCTAGTGTAATGTATATTATTTTACTATAAGGCTACTTTTAAAAGTATTTTTTACCTTCATATGTAAATTTTATTTTTAAGTTTAGAAAGTAATACAAGCTACACATTTTTTATTGTCATTGTTAGTTATTTAAAGTAAAGTATTTCTTTTATCAAAAAATACTCGCAAAAATAAAATCAATAAAAAAAAATGTTAAATATAGTATTGACCACTTGTTCCTTGTGACAATCACTGAACCACATGCAATTACTCTCTCTAAGCCATACATTCACATGAATGATTTTCGTAAAAAGTCACGAATCACACTGGAACCACGAAAAGAGGAGTATCTTACGAATAATGCTGCGTTCTTTATATTTTTCTACTTGTTTCGGCAACATCTATTCGGACATTTTAGGACAATGTGAATGGATTAATGAGAGAAGTAAGTGTAACATACAAATGTAAGAAATGAGTCCTACGTGTGCGACATCAAGCGTTCAAGTGGAAAACTTACACCAATAAAATAATGTATATTTTGGTTTGTCATTTAAAGGAAGTTTCAAATATTTAAGATGTGAGAGGGATGAAGAAGGAAATTATTTCCATCAGGTAAGAACGTGATACAATTTTCTTATTATGATTCAAAAAATTTATTGGGAGAACAGAGGAGTTATCCAAATAAATAAGTATGAAGTATGTACCCAGCAAAAACTTGTACTGACTTACAAATAACTATATATATAAACATGTAAGTACTTACTTTCTAGCCTTCACATTTGGGTTATATCTTTATTATTTGGGTTATATAAAATCTGATATAAACTAGTGTCAATGTTTGACCAACGGTTTATCCAAATGGGCGGGGAGCCACGCCCCTATTAAGAAAATATTAGATCCGTATATTGGAGATAATATAATAGTTAGAGTCCTCAAATTTTATCGGAGCCACTTTAGTATCAATATGTTTATTTAGGACAAAAAGTAGGTGGACTAGCATTAGGGGGCGTGGCACCTCCCATATAAATTAAATAAAAAATTCGTTTATCTTGGAAACTGTTACAGTTAGAATCTTAAAATTTTGCACGAATAACTTTCACACCCATTTAAATATTTTGGGAAATAAATTGGCGGGCTACCCATGAGGGGAGCGGCACCTCCCATATTAATTAAATACAAAAATTCGTATTTCTGGGAAACTAATGGAAAATTCTTCAAATTTTGCACGAAGAACTTAAATATTCATCTGTACATTTTGAAAGAAAAAAAGCGGACTTTCATCAGGGGGAGGCTTAAAGCCCCCATATGAATTAAATAGAAAAATTCGTATATCTGAAAAACTATTAGAGCTAGAATCTTCAAATTTTACTTGAAGTATTTAACGGGCGGACTTTCAATGGGGAACTTTGCACCGTTTATCTGGAAAACTAATAGAACTTGATTCTTAAAATTTTGCACAAATTATTTTAATATTCATCTGAACATTTTGCGGAAAATGTGCGGGCTTTCATCTGGGGAACTTGAAGCCCCCACTATTAGAGCTATAATCTTCAAATTTTACATGAAGAACTTTGACATTCATGGGAACATTTAGAGAATAACGGGCGGACTTTCAATGGGTGGCTTGACACCACATATATGAATTAATTAAAAAATTTCGTGTATCTTTGAAACTCTTATATTCTTCAAATTTTTCATAGATAGATAGAAATTGGTGATAGATAGAAACAGGCGAACTTGCAATAATTTGCTTAACATCTCTCATATGTAACATATTGTAAATCTGGAAAACTATTGTAGTTAGAATCTTCAAAATCGTTAAGGGAGTTTTTTATTTATACATATTGCTTTTAGGGTAGCAAAGCACACTGGGTATAGCTAGTTATTAATAATTAATGTTAATTTGTCAAAACTAATAATTTTAAAAAAAAAAAAAAAAAAACTACTTAACTCCTTATTTGCCTCCTAAGTCATCAACGTCTTAAAATAATGACTTAAAGTTCAATTCTGTAAGTAAATTTTATGCCCTTACTTTTCAATGTATGTAATTATTTACTGGGTATGTATGTAACATCTTGAGAAATAAAATATGTTGCTTTCGATTTTTATAATAAATTAAAAATTTTAAATTGCTTATTATTTTTTATTTAGGCATAATTTTAATATGATTACAAAATGTTTTATTTGGTTAATTATAAAAAAAAACATAAAGCTTTAGCATTTATTCTAGATTAAATCTGTTTGTATTTCATATTTTAAAATTATTTACTGAAAACTGTATGAAGTCACAGTATTAAAAGTATGTATTGTAGTCTGGGGCTGATATAAACACATCTGCATTTTTACTTGTAAATAAAAACATGAAATAACACACCTTAAATGAACTACCTTCAAAATTGGCCTAGATAATAAAGATTAACAACTGTTATAAACAATGGCCGTTGTAGTAATGACCCTATAAAAATCGTATATATACAGCCGATATACATATTTTGTGTAGGATTAAAATTTTTTAATTTAATTGACAATAAGAAACTATGGTAAACAAATTTTTAATAATATTTATCTCTGCCATTTGCGGTCTGGTAAGATTTTTAACAAAAAATTAAAAATTAATAAATAATATTTAACATTTAAATTTTTATTATATTTAGTTAACTGCGTATGCAACTGTAAGTTATGATAAATTTATTTAAGTTCCAAATCCATTTTTAATAATAAACAATATTTTTAGAATCCATTAGTAGGTAAACCAGTAATACTACCAACTTGTCCAGTACCCACCGAACAGATTTTGAGAGTAAGTGATTCGTTTAATACTAGAATTTGTGATCAATTGAATCGTTATGTTAGCATAGTCGAATAGAGTATTAAAAACATGAAAACACTTTATTATTTTTTTCGCGGTTGTTAAAATCAGTTTTTTGAAGGCCCCACATAATTTCGGAATCCAATTCTGTTAAGAATTTACCTATTTAAAACCAGTAAAATCAGTTTTTAAGTATCGGAGATGTGATCGAAACAAATATGATAAAAATATTTCAATTCGTTTGGTACGGGAATATTGTGTTTTTTATTATTTTTATGGACTTTTTGTAGAGACCAGTCGAACTGAACTGAATTTCATTACTATTACCTGATTAGTGGTATGCCAAAAAGTCCGAAATGAAAAGAATAGCATTTCATATAATTCACAGATTCCAATCACTGTCAGACAAACATACATTGGATTAATGAGAAATAATGTTATCGGAATTTTGTTTGTTAAAAAATTTAATTCTAGATTGAATTTATAGCCGATAACATTAAATGTATGTTTTTTGAATCCAATTCCGGCAATGATAGGATTATATGACAACCCCGATTATTTCATTTTACTAGACAAGAACAGAATTGTGTTCGAGATATTTCCTAAAATATGGTCAAACATAGGATATTTAACAATTTATTTAAAAATATTATGGTGATGCTTTCATTAATAATGAATCTATAATAAATTTTCTCAGTGTCTGGGAAGATGGGCCTGTCAACATGCCATACGTTTGGATCTAAGGTTTGTATTTTTCTTAAAAATCTGTCAAAATCAATAATCATTCCTTACTTTTTAGATGTCTATTAAATCTTAACGGAAATCCTCTTCTTGGTGGCCTTTTAGGAGGTGGTGGAATATTAGGTGGAGAAAATGGAGGTGGTCTTGGAGGTGCTATTCCTGGTGCTGGTAATGGGATTGTCGGCGGTCTCTTAGGGCGTTAGTTTCTCTTCTTACTTCATTGTAAAGTTAATAATAAACATTATCATTACTTAAAGTGCCCTCTGCTATTGTCATTGTCATATTAAATAATTGCGTGTAATTATGACATAGTTAATATTATTCGATTTATTCGACAAATAATTATTTGAGGTCTAGCATAAAACCTCAAATAATTATTTGCCGTTTAATACTCGGATAATTCAAAATTATTCGGTTATTCGAATAAAAGGGAATTGGATGATTTTTTATTAATTTTCTTTCTATGACAATTTTTTAATAAAGTTTTTTTGAATATGCCTACATTCCAATAGACTTGTGTTATTGGACATACTAAGAAAACATAAAAATATTTCTCAAAACTGGTTGTAGAAGTATAGGCGATATCATTATATCCAAGATTGCTGTTAAAAAGGGTTTCTAAAAATGTAAATAAAATACAAACTTAACAGAACTTTGAAAACCAGAAAAATATACTGCCGTTAAATTATAGCAGTGTTCGTTTATTCGAAAATATAAAAAAAAATTTACTTTTTTATTGAAAGTAAAAATTTTTTTAAAAGTAGATTTTTCATGTCCAAATATCTTAATTTCCCATTAAGCAGTTCAATCTTCAAGTTCTGATTATATTCATTAATTTTTAAATGTTTTGATTTTATTCAACACCATATTTTGTTCATTCAAATGTGTGAATAAAAAATTCTGCTTGAAAATACAATAATTCAAATAGTTTTTTCTTTGTTTTGATTTTTTTATACAAATGTGTTCACAGAAAAAAATGGAATTCAAAATCAAACAAAAAATTCATAAAGCCAAGTATTTTTTTTACTAAAATAGGACCTATCACGAAATTCGTAAAATCAAGTACTCAAATTCGTAAATTCTTTATTGAGAAAATTTCAGGATTTTTCTTATTAAAATAATATACTATTTACGAAAAACATTAATAAATAATCGCAACATTTCCAAACAATTATTTTACTGAAACAATAACACAAGTTATTAGTATTTGTACTGAAATTCAAGCAAATATGTTATCTGAAACAGTTAAATTATTTATTATATTTTGGCAATAATAATAAGCAAAATTTTTTATTGAATCTATAAAAATTTTGTTAAAAAATATATACTAAATTTTAACAAAAATTTTACAAAAAATATTTAAAACTAAAAGTAGTAAAAAAAATACATATATACTTACAACATTTTTAAGAAAACGTTTCTAATTCTAGAAACTATTATTTTGTACTGTGAAAACTGAAACACTTATACATTAAATGTTATAAACCAAATAAGAATTATATCAATTCATTTTAGTACATTCCAAAACTGGTTTTATTGTTGTATTCCATATGCTGACATAAAAATAAAACTCAAACAAAAACATTTATTGAATCAGTAACAAGTAAGAGTGTTATATTCGGCTGTGCCGAATCTCATATACCTACCATCAAACCGTATGCCGTAAAAGGAATGCTCCCCTATAAACATCAGCGTTATATTTGGAATATGGCTTAAGTCAATTATGGCCCGAGCTCTTCTGAACTAACAAAATATTAATTAAAAAAAATATATATATATTTTATTTCAATTCTTAAACCGTGAGCGTCAATTATGAACCGATACTCATAAAATTTTGTACATTCAGGGCTATACTAGTATTTTAAATAAGGAACACTCGTAGTTTATTAGCCAAAACTCTTTCCTGAAGGGAACCTTTTGTGTATTACCGACACATTCCGCATGAAATTCGGAGCGAATTTCATAACCGTATTTCATAACTCATATTTTTAAGCCAGTAATGATCGTTTAAGTAATTTTTTGAAGGGGACCTTATATGGGCGGTAGGGTAAATTATATACCGATCCTCCCTAAATTTGGTGGAGAGATTAAACTTATGTGCGTCAATTTTCGTCACATTCATATTTTTAAGCCAGTAATGAGCATTGTAGTTATTTGCAGAGGGGATGGGTCATTTTTGAGCCGATCCAAAAAAATTGGTACAGAGGTTTTGGCTCGTAAGAAACTTACGTGTGTAGCATTTCATCGTTTTACTCGTATTTTTAAGACAATAGTAAGCGTTTAAGCTATTTCCTGAAGTGGACCCAATAGGGGGAGTAGGGCCAATTATGGACCTATCAACATAAAAGTTATTAAAAAGATTTTGGCTCGCGAGGAACTTTATTGTGTAAAATTTTATTGCTATATTCGTATTTTTTAGCCAGTAATGAGCGTTAAAGTCATTTTCAGAAGGGGACCTTATATGGGGGATAGGGTCATTTATGGGCCGATCTTAAAAAAAATTTGTAGAGCGATTATGGTTCGTAAGAAACTTACGTATGTAGCATTTCATCGCTATACTCGCATTTTTGGACCAGTAATGAGTGTTAAAGTAATTTTCTAAAGGGGACCTTATATGGGGGGTAGGGTCAATTATGGACCGATCCTCAAAAAATTTGGTAGAAAGATTTTGGCTCACATGAAACTTATTTATGTCGAATTTCATCGCTATACTTGCATTTTGGGGCCAGTAATGAGTGTTAAAGTCATTTTCAGGAGGGGACCTTATATGGGGGGTAGGGTCATTTATGGGCCGATCCTAAAAAAAAATTGGTTAAAAGGTTTTGGTTCGTAAGAAACTTACTTATACTGAATTTCATCGCTATACTCGAATTTTTAGGCTAGTAATGAGTGTTAAAGTCATTTTCTAAAGGGGACCTTATATGGGGGGTAGGGTCATTTATGGGCCGATCCTAAAAAAAATTGGTAGAGAGATTTTGGTTCGTAAGAAACATACTTATACCGAATTTCATCGCTATACTTGCATTTTGAGACCAGTAATGAGTGTTAAAGTAATTTTCAGAAGGGGACCTTATATGGGGGTAGGGTCATTTATGGTAGAAATGATTTTGGCTCATATGAAACTTATTTATGTCGAATTTCATCGCTATACTTGTACTTCTAAAGCAGTTATGCCCGTTAAAGCTGTTTTTTGGCGGTCCACTTGTATGGGGGCTATCCGAAAAAGTGGACCGATATTGCCCATTTTCAATACCAAACAAACCTTAACAATAGAGAATATTTATGCAAAATTTCAATTTCCTCTCGTGTGGTCCCTATCGTGATTTCAACAGACAGACGGACGGACGGACATGGCTAGATCGTCTTAGAATTTAATAAGGACCCGGAATATATATACTTTTATGGGTCTATGACCAATACTTCGATGTGTTACAAACGGAATGACAAAATCAATATACCCCCCATCTTTTTTGATGGTGGGTATAAAAATATTTACTGAAAGTTAAATTTATTTCAATAAAGTGTTTGTTAGAAAATATTTTCCTTCTGTGTGAACATCAAACAAATTCGTTATAAACCCAAATAAAAATATTTATAAAAATCGAAATTAAATTTAAGCAAACGATTGTTAAGAAAAAAATTGTGCATATTTTTTTCTGTGTTGATTTGAAATATTTGAATTTGATTTTATTCAATATTGAATTTTTTTGAATGAACAAAACTGAATAACAATTTTATTGTATAATTAAATCAGGGAAAAAATTGATTTTTGCAGTTCTCTGGTATGTATCTAATAAATAAATTTATGTAAAAAATTTAAAAATCAATACTTTTGTAAACGTACAAAAATGTTTGTTACGACATTGAAAAATGGTATGTTAGAATAAACTAAATTTTAATTTTCGGCGTGAAATTTTCTTAAGGGGCCACCTTCATGTACATTATGGTTATAACCAAAATTAGGATACACACATATATCGCTAATAGGTAGCCAGTAGAGCTTTAATAACAAAAACATTTTACTCGAGTCATTTCGATGCAAAACCCAACCGCGGCAAATCAATTTTCTAAAACCATTCAAATTTAAGTAATAGTATAACCGCAGTCCTAATTCTTGTCGTGAGTCAAACAATGATACTTGTATCTATCATAAATTTCCGATTTTATGTCAATAAATTTAAAAATTTTAGCTTAAATATCGTAAACTTTATAGAATTTGCCGCAGAAACTTTTTAACACTCGGGAAAAAGTGATGTAAATTTTTCACGTACTTTTTGTAGAATGGAATTTTTAATTTTCTAAAATTGTATAAAAATTATTAACCTAATATACAATTCCTATAATTATTACTTACATATATTGTCACTATAAAAACGGTCGTATTTCCATTATTGCACTCTCCAATAACCATTAAAAATTCGTTATTCTCTTGTAATTGTTTGGTTCAACCTTTAATATTCATTAATTAAAACTTGATTTTTATTCATTGTATATACAATGGGGACATTCTATTTAATATTTTTATTTTTGTAAGATTTTACTTTTGCACGAACATAAATGTATAAGAATTACGATAATAAAGTTAATGTTCATGTTCATTTATGTTCAATAAGCTATAATCGTTATAAAAAAATGTTATATACTTCCAAGCAAGGGTGGCCCACAAACATTTTGAATTTTAAAATTCTTACATACAATTATTTAGTTATTTATATTTAATTATTACATATTTGATCTCATATTATTTCATAGAATATTTAAGAATTCCATTTAGTATGTATTTTATTTAAATTTTTCGAAACATTTTTTCTCCCCGATCTTGTTTTATTTCTTTTAAAAGCTTTTCTTAAATATATTAACCCAGAACAAACATTTGGAGAAACGGTATTTTAGAATGAACTAAACTTTAATTTTCGGTGGGGGCACCAGTAGCATATTCGTTCTCCGGGCTACCTTAATGTACATACATACATACTACATACATACATACTACATACATATGTATGTATTTATTTAGTTATTGTAAAATGCATTAAAAAACATGAGAGAAAAAGATCCAGAATATCCATTATTATAGTAGCTTTATAAAAGCTAATGCTAGGATGTTAAATAGTAAAACTTCGATATAACGAACCTCGTTAAAAATGTTTTCCATACAAAAATACAGCATAGTTATAACGAAGAAATTCTGAATCATAAAACCTCTATACAGCGAAGTTTTCAATAAAAAACTTTTATACAACGAATAAACCAATTCAAATTTAATTTAAACTAATCGAAGTATTAC